GAACCTGTTCTTCCTCCCACCTATCCCCTCCTCCCACCTCAAGCCGCACCTCCATCTCCTACCGACCAACCTCATCCCGCCCCCTTGACCTGTCCGTCCTCCCTGGACTGACCTATCCCCTTCCTAACTCCCTACCTACACTCACCTTTACTGGCTCCATCCCCGCCTCTTCGACCTGTTTGTTTCCTCTCCACCTATCCTCTCCTCTATCCCTCTTCTATCCGCCTCCCACTCTCTCCCTATTTATTTCAAAACCCCCTTCCCCTCCCCCTTTTCTGATGAAGGGTCTTGGCCCGAAACGTCAGCCTCTCTGCTCCTATGATGCTGCTTGACCTGCTGTGTTCATCCAGCCCTGCACCTTGTTGTCCCCTTATTTACCATTCCTGATTTGAACACAAGTTTGAACTCAAATCTCCCCTTAACCTTTTCTAGATTTTTCATGTAACTGACACCATTCTATTAAATCTCCTCTGTAAATTTTAAAGGACAGTTCAGCTGAATACATTGTTGTGAAGGAAAGAATGTTGAAGAGAGAGAGATTCAGATCATTAAGATGCTGATATGATGCAGTTATGTCCTATAGGAATAAATATCAGTTTGAATACAAAATTAAAGACCTGAACAAAATATAGGTGATCAAGTTTAAATGTGGGAGAGGTTGATAGCGTATTGGCTCACATTTTGCGAAAGCAATGCAGCAAGAGCAACATGCATCTCGAATTTTCATAAACTATTGTAACAACAGAAAATGTCTTTCATCAGCATTCCTTTCATCAATAAAAATTATGGATTGAGAAATAAACAATGAGAAAGGGGATGAATTAGATTGGACATGAAATCTGATACAGAAAGAAGAGAGGGAGAGAAAGTTTTGATTTAGAGAGCATGCGGAAGAAAGGAATTTTTTTTAAAACGTGAGATTTTTAAAAATGACTATTAAAAACAATTCAGAATGAGATTCCACACTTATTATTATTTGCTTTCTGGCCAGAAAGGATTGATTGGCATTCAGGATCAATTATAAAATTGTAGAAAGGGTACTTGTACTGTTAATCTCAGACTTTGTTTCTTTGTGGAAAACTTTTAATGGGCCGTTAATGTGCCAATGCAATGCAATAACTCAATAAAAATCCCAGGAGATTTCAGAATGAGATACTACATTCACAAAGCCAAAGTTGAAGTGGCATCATTTGGTCAGAAACCATGGAGAATTGTTTCTTCAACATCACTCGCTGCCTGAATTGCACGTTAACATTAGGTACCTATGAACTTTTGAGTTTGTCATTTGCAATGGAACGTCAGGGTCTTGCATTTAAATGTTTATACAATTTTGTTTTTGGTGTCTTACTTTGAATGTGGAAGGGGTCTGACATTTCCACAAAACTCAGCAGATTAGGCTTCACCAGCATACTATCCCCTTAAGTGAAAACTTAGACATTTTGCCATATATTTAACACAACTGATTAAATTTCATATCATGGAGTGTGGGCTTCACCCACAAACATTGCCATTTGTGAAGTGGAAAAGTTAAATATTGTTTGGAGCAGAGTTGTTCCTGAGTTGTCTTTCACTTGCCTTCTAACATTTCAATCCATCAGTCAATGTCATTGATATCCAGGCAATCTTAGTGTTGTGAAGATAGAATAGCAAAGAGTGTACAATTGAACAGTTGTTATTTTACTCTCCATTTAACATGACAGCTGTTGAGAAAGTCAATAATTTGATGGTGATCATGAGCACTGCTTTAATTTTGCAAAATTTAGTGACATTTAATATGTAACCTTTTTGTTAATCCACAGATATCATTCTGAGAACAGAAATACAGCTTTTGGGGAATTTAAGTTTGGCCCTTTATTTGTGAGACTATGTTATGAGCTAGGATTAGAAGAAACTGCAGAAGAGATGGTGAAAGACCAGGTAATTTGTTTTATTCATTTGAGATGTGGGTATCACTCGCTGCGCCAGCATTTATTGCCCATCCCCAGTTGCCCTTGAGAAGGTGGTGGTGATCTGCCTTCTTGACCTCCAGGATTTTGAACAACAACACTGAACGCACAACAATATATTTCCAAGTCAGGAAAGCGAGGGGTTTGGAGGGGAATTTGCAGGTGGTGGTGTTTCCGTGTATCTGCTGCTCTTGTCCTTCTAGATGGAAGTGGTCATGGGTTTGGAAAATGCTGTCTATTCATTCCTGATTGATGTTAATAGATTCTAATTTGATCTGGATATCAACAGAAATGGAGAAAAGTGAGTAAATGGAATTGAGATACAACTTTAGCACAGAACTTCAGAGTGATTGTCAGAGCATATTTACTGGCGTGATGCTTCCATATGATAAGGATATAAAAAGATAAAGAATGCTTCTAAAAGTTCATTATAATACGTACATAATTTAATATAGAGATGTGAGCTATTGATTATTATCGAGATGAGAGCTATTGATTATTTTCTTTAGGTGATTTGATTTGATTTATGGTCACGTGTACCTTTGTACAGTGAAAAACTTTGTTTATGAGCAGTACAGGCAGGTCATAATAAGCAAGGATGTACAGATCGTAGAATGAAAGAAAAACGAGACAGAGGCATACAGATCAGTATTAATTGAAGTTAGAGAGTCCATTCATCAGTTTAATAATGGCAGGGAAGAAGCTGTTCTTGAACATATTGGTGCGTGTGTTCAAGCTTCTGTATCTTCTGCCTGACAAAAGAAGTCGTAGGAGGTCATTATTGGGGTGCGATGGGTCCTTGATGATGTTGGCAGCCTTTCTGCAGCAATGGACTGTGTAAATGGAGTCGTCTGAGGAAGAAGAGGCGTTGTTGTGCCTTTCTTGACCGTCGCATCTACGGGAACTGTAGGACAGGTTGTCAGTTATCGTCACTCCTAGGAATGTGACGCTCTCTACCCTCTCAACCTCAGCTCCGTTGATGTAGATAGGGGCTGTTCCCCTCCTTTCTTTCTGAAGTTGATGATCAGTTCTTTAGTTTTGCCGACGTTGAGAGAGAGGTAGTTCACATTGCACCACATCATCATCATAGAACCCCTACAGTGTGGAAACAGGCCCTTTGGTCCAACAAGTCCACAACGACCCTCAAGGCATCCCATCCAGACCCATCCCCCTATAATCCACCTAATCTACACATCCCTGAACACTACGGGCAATTTAGCATGGCCAATCCACCTAGCCTGCACATCTTTGGAGTGTGGGAGGAAACCGGAGCACCCGGAGGAAACCCACGCTGACATGGGGAGAATGTGCAAACTCCACACAGACAGTCACCCGAGGGTGGAATTGAACCCAGGTCCCTGGTGCTGTGAGGTAGCACAGAGCCACTGTGCCTGTCTCCTTTCAGTATTCTGAATCGTTATTGTTAGATATCTACCCTACCACAGCGGTGTCATCAGCAGACTTGTAGTTGCCATTCATTTGGAATTTGGCAACAGAGCCGTGGGTGTACAGGGAGTACAGTAGGGGGCTGAGAACGCATCCTTGGGGGCGCTGTAGTGTTGACTGTTATCGTGGAGGAGGTGCAGTTGTCTATCTTCACTGATTGTGGTCTATGGGTCAGAAAGCTGAGGGTTCAGTTGCAGAGGGTGGAGCCAGAGATCAATCTGAAGGGGATAAAGGTGTCGATGAGTAGGAGTCTGATGTAGGTGTCCTTGTTGTCCAGATGTTCCAGGGGTGAGTGCAGGGCTAGAGATATGGCATCCTCTGTGGATCTGGCAAATTGTAGAGGATCGAGGCAGGCTGGGAGACTAGAGTTAATGTGGGCCATGATCAGCCTCTCAAAGCATTTCATGATTATGGAGGTCAGAGCCACTGGACATAGTCAGTAAGGCACGTTGCATGTGTTTTCTTAGGTACGGGGATGATGGTGGTCTTCTTGAAACAGATGAGGACATTGGCTTGTAGGAGGGAGAGGTTGAAGGTGTCGGTGAATACCTCCACCACTTGGTCCGCACAGGATCTGAGTGCTCAGCCGGGGACTCCGATTGGGCCTGTTGCTTTCCTTGGGTTAACTCCCAGGAAAACCGATTTGACGTCTGCAGTGGTGACAGTGGGCACTGGTGTGTCCGGGACTGTCAGGACAGGTGACACCATACTGCTGGCATTCTGCTCGAACTGAGCACAAAAAACATCGAGCGTGTCAGGGAAGGATGTGACTTTGTTTGCTATCTTGCTCTGCTTCACTTTGTATACTATAATGTTGTTTAGGCCTTGCGACAGGCAGTGGGAGTCTGTATGGTTGGTTTGGGCCTCTAATTTGATCTGGTATTGCCTCTTGGCAGTATGAGTTGGCATTATCCCAGTTGTAAAGAAATAATGATGTGCTGGAGAGTTATTCCTGGTGTTCTAGCTGATGCTTGTGCCTCAGTTATCGTTAAGTTTTTTAAGAAAAAGACTGATCATTATCACATTTCTTTTTAATTAATTAAAGATATTGATGAAGTACAGATGTAAGTCTGATGCTGACACAAGTAAAACACAAAGATGGAAGGAGGATTATTTGGAAGCCTGGATTAGAGCTAAAGCAATCTTGATCCATCTTTGCATCTGGTATACTTAAACTGTCATGGTAACAAAATGAAAGTGTCATCCTTGCTCCCCTTGATGCATTATCGAGCTTGCCTGTGTAATAGACTTTGATAGCGTAGTAATTATGCAATATGAATTCAAAACCCACCAATGGTTGAGAATTTAAATTCAGTTTGTTACAAAAAAAGTCTAGAAATTAAAAACTTGATCAGAGAAGTGCCGTAAAACTGTTGATGTGTCGTAAATATCCAATTAGGTCACTCGTGTCCTTCAGGGAAAGAAACCTGCTGTCCTGACCCAATCTGGCCGCTGAATTCTATCAAGCTGATACGTTGAAATTCAGTTCAAGTTAAAGGCCCACTGCATATCTTACAGGGCAACTTAAGGTGAGGAAGCAGTGCTAGTCTGCTTTCTTATGTAATACTCTTAACTGATTAATAACACAAACTATTCCTAACTTTACTAGTAATGACAGATATCTATTACTACTTGTCTTGTGGATTGTGCCTGGAGTGGACACATTGTACTGTCGGGTGTAATTTGCACGTAAAGTGGCACTTCAGTGATTTTTTTTATGTGAAGCATTTTAAGACATTTTAGTGCTGTAATAAGCCACCATATAAATGCAAGAATTTTCCTTTCTTGTACAAGTAGCATCATTCCCATTGCTTTTGACCAGCTTTCCCCACAATGGAACAAGATATTCATGAACAGATCATTCATTGTTTGAAGAGCATTAGGTTGTTGGGTGCAGGGGGCTGGGGGTGTGGGAGGTGGGGGGAGGCAACATGACTTGAATTGATAAAGTGACTTTAATATGGTAAAATATTCCAAAGTGCTTTATATGGGTCTCAATGGGGTGTTTGCACTGTCTGTTCCTTAAGTGCAGATCTCCCATCGCTGACGGCATCAATAATGTCAACCTGTCAGATTCACTGTGGTTGGCATCCAGAAAGACCTGCTAAATATCATTACTCCCTGCATGATGATCTTGCTGAATGTGGCAGATTTGCCCTGGACTTGCTGCCTGCTGCATAAGACCTTTCCCTCAGTAATTCTGCAGTGAAAACGCTCCACTGGCATCAACACAAAAGCAACTTTAGCTTAGTCTCATTCACCATCATTTGACTTGTTCAAAACAAAAGCAATTCAGACCAATTTTTAAGTAACTGCTGTTCTAATTGTTGATCAAGCTTTTAACCCCAATGATTAATATTCAGTTCAGAACAAGTCACACTTCTCAGTTAATGTAAATGTATTTATCTTTTAATACACATTTACATGCAATCTTCCAAATATTTACCTTAAGTTTTAACTTTAAGATTTAGGGCAGCAAGGTGGCAGAGTGGTCAGCACTGCTGCCTTACAGCACCAGGAATGCAGGTTCGATTCCCGCCTACAGCGATTGTGTGGAGTTTGCACGTTCTCCCTGTATCTGTGTGGGTTTCATCAGGGTGCTCCGGTTTCCTCCCACAGTCCAAACATGTGCAGGCCAGGTGGATTAGCCATGAGAAATATAGGATTACAGGGGATTCTCTTCGGAGGGTCAGTGTGGCACAATGGGTCGAATGGCCTCCTTCCTCACTGTGGGGATTCTATGATTCTTCTATGATGACTGTGCACCGTTTAAGTGTGTATTGAGAATTCTTGTTGTTCCTTAATCATTGGCTGATTTCTAGCTACTTTTGTGCCTGTTTTTTTAACTGTACTCTAAATACTGCTATTTGAGGTCTCTGCCTGAAACCACAGTGCTTCGATCTCCACTATGGTAGAGAAAGGAGACGGGTTCCAAATCTACCCTGTCTAAAACAAGGATCAAATCCTGTACTGTTGGCTCCAATTTGATCTACATCAAATTATCCAGCCAAGGAGACCATATTGCAATGTGTGGTAGCATGCACTTTTACATGGATATTGTGACCCGGAGCTGTAGTTAATGATGTTAAAGGCTTTCCCTTCCATCACATGTCTGACCAAGAGTATGTCCCTGTCTTCCCACGTGCCATTGGTATGTGTTGGAAAGATTTACAAAGTGATATTCAACCTGTTTTGCTGCATTATGAAAGCAGCTTCCTTAGTCGTCAAGTCCTGGAATGGGACTTGAACCTGGAGCTTCTGGCTCAGAGGCAGGGACATTACCCACTGCACCGCAAGAACTCCACTGATGCCTATGGACTGTGGTAAAAAGAAGCCTCTAGTGTTTGAAATCTGAAATAAAGGAACAAGCAGCAGGAAGATCAGTTTGTGAACCAAGAAGGGTAACATTGTTTTGTGTAAACCATGAGCTGAGAATTTTCCTTTAGATGCTGTTTGAACATAGATGATTCAGAGTTGAGGACCAAGTGGAGTGTGTCAAAGTTCTCAGATGACACTAAGATGAGTAGGAGAGCAAAGTGTGCCGAGGGCACACAAGGTCTGCAGAAGGATATTGACAGGTTAAGTGAGTGAGCAAATGTCTGGCAAATGACGTACAATGTTGGTAAATGTAAGCTCAATGATTTTGGTAGGAATAACACCGAAATAGACTTTTATTTAAATGGTGAAAAATTGCAGCATGCTGCTGTGCAGAGGGATCTGGGTATCTTTGTGCATGAATCACAAAAAGTTGTTTTCAGGCGCAACAGGTAATTAAGGAGGCAAATAGAATATTGTCCTTCATTGCTAGAGGGATTGAGTTTAAAAGCAGAGAAGTTATGTTGCAGCTGTATAGGGTGCTGTTGAGGCCACATCTGGAGTACTGCATTCAGTTTTGGTCTCCTTACCAGAGAAAGGATGCCCTGGCATTGGAGGGGGTGCAGAGGAGATTCACTAGGTTGATTCCGGAGTTGAGAGGGTTGGCTTATGAAGAGAGATTGAATAGACTGAGATTATATCCATTGGAGTTTAGAAGAATGGAGCGGGGGGAGGAATCTTACAGAAACATATAAAATTATGAAGGGAATAGATAAGATAGAAGCAGGAAGGTTGTTTCCACTGGCGGGTAAAACTAGAACTAGGGGCATAGCCTCAAAACAAGGGGCGAGCAGATTTAGGACTGAGTTGAGGAGGAACTTCTTCACCCAAAGGGTTGTGAAGTAGTTGAGGCTTCCTCATTGCATGTCTTTAAGGGAAAGATAGATTTTTGAACAGTAAAGGAATTAATGGTTATGTTGAGTAGGTGGATAAGTGGAGCGGAGTCCACGAAAAAGATCAGCCATGATCTTATTGAATGGTGAAGCAGACTTGAAGCTCCTGATGACTTACTCCTGCTCCTATTTCTTATAAGCTGTGGCGAATTCCCAGATGTTTCTTGTTGGGTTGTGTGATATCAGGGGTTTACTGATATTTTTGCAGAACGTTGATATTAGTATCGATGCAAGTTAATTGATTACTTTTTTTAAGGATGGGAACAAATAAAGATTAAGTAAATTATTTTCTGACAACTTCCCAGTAAGTTAGAGAAATAGTGGACATTCTGGATCCCAAACCCAGGGAGTATATGGCAATTTGGCCCTCTATATGCTTACTGCATCCAGTGAATTATAATTGAACAAAATGTTATAACTTGATTCCTACTCTTCAAGCCTAAATCGACTTGGATTCCTGGGATGGCAGGACTGACATATAAAGAGAGACTAGGTTGGTTAAGATTCACTACAGTTTAGAAGAATGAGGGGGTTCTCACAGAAACCTGTGAAATTCTAACAGGACTAGACAGGGTAAATGCAGGAAGTATGATTCTGATGACCAAGGAGTCCAGGACCAGGGGTCACGGTCTAAGGATACAGGGCAGGCCATTTAGGAATGAGACGAGAATTTATTTTTCACCCAGGGAATGGTGACCCTGTGGAATCCTCTGCCACAGAAAGTGGGTTGAGGCCAAAGCATTGGAGGTGTCTTTTTTTTTAAAAAAAAGGCATTATATGTAGGAGCAAATTACTGCCGATGCCGGAGTCGGTACTGAAAACAAAAATTCTGGAGATCACAGCAGGTCAGACAGCATCCATAGAGAGAGAACAAGCTAACGTTTCAAGTCTAGATGACTCTTCATCAGAGCTGAAGGCATTATATGTCGTTCTTGTGGCTGAAAGGATGTAGGGATAAAAAAGGACACAGTGATGATCAGTCACAATCATACTAAACTGTGGAACAGGTTTGAAGGGCTGAATAACCTACTCCTGTTTCCTGTGTTTCTAGAATTTCAGTTTCTAACCCTCATAATAGTCTCCAGCAGCAGAATTCTTTTGAATCTTACAGATTTGCCACTAGGTGGCAGTTTAATCCAGAATTAAAGCATAACATTTATTGTTCCAATTTATTTCCATAGTTTCCACTTCATTTGAACCACTCTGTCTCTCTCACTCACACACGCACACACACTTGCAAACACTTTCTGTTTTATAATTAGAAATCTGAATTGTAGGACAGATGGCTTTGCATGGACTGGTCCGATTAGATTGATCCAATGGCTGGGTTTCATTTGATGCAGCGCTTCATATCCTTTTTAATGCAGCAGGGCTATTTTTAAAGCAGATCCTAATGCAGCAGTCTGTGTGTGGTCTCCCTAGAGTACAATGCTAGAATAATAAATGGCAGGCTATGAATGCTACCAGGCAGCGCATCAATCGATCAGTTCTGGTAACGTCATTAAATGTGAGAGCAACTGTTAAGGATCTTTTAAGGTGCTTACTGTAACATGGCTTTTTTTTAATGTTCTTGCAACAAATAGGCTCAACAAGACAGACAGTTTGGTATGGGTGAAGGTTTTGTGGAAAATAATGAAATGCCACTGATGAGTTTGAGTCAAGGCAAAGGACAGATTGATACTGCAACCTTCATAAATCTCTACAGACAGCCACTGGGCTCATCCAGTGCTAGGGGAATGCTCTAAGTAGTTCTGCACCTCCACAAGGGTGGAAAAATCCATTCCTTATCTCTATGGTGACAATAAAACATCTGTCTGCTGAGTTGGTCAGGACATGATCCACAGGGAAACAAAAACCATCTTTAGCTGAGCAATTTTTTAGAAGCACATTACATTTTGATGTGGCATTTTGTAGCAGTCTAAAGAAAGAAAATACATAAATAATTTTGAAATAAGATTCAAAAGGTGATATATAAAAACAAAACTGATAAGGAATAAATGCTGGACTGACCCAATGGATTGATCCAATTTCTGGCAATCTGGGTGCAAAGGACGATTGGTTGTGGTTGTTGGAGGTCAATCATCTCACTCCCTGGCTATTGCTATAGGAGTTTCTCAGGATAATGTCCTAGATTCCAAACATCTCCAGCTGCTTCATCAATAACCCTCCCTCCATCATGAGGTGAGAAATGGGAATGTTCGCCACTCAGTGTTCAGTACCATTCGTGACTTCTCGGATACTGAATTGGCATATGCAGCAAAACCCAGACAACTTTCAGGCTTGGGCAAAAGTGTGGTACAGCATTACAAGTGCCAGGCAATGACCATCTCTAATGAGGGAGAAGCTAATCGCTCATTGAGATTCAACCGCCATTGAAATCCCAGTGCCAACATCGTGGATTTTGCCACCTAGAAAAGTGAATCAAAGGCTGGAAATTCTTCAGTGAATAACTGACGACCTGACTTCACAAAATATGTCCATCATCCACAACAAAGAAATTAGAAGTGTGATGGAATGTACTCCATTTGCCTGAATGAAAGCAGCTCTAACTACACTTGAAGCTCTATCATTCAGGATAAAGCAGCCCATTTGACATACAGACGTCATCTAAATCTTCACTGACTAAATCTCCAGTGCACAGTGACAGTGGTGTGTACTGTCCACAAGTTGAACTATGCGGCAACGCTTCAAGGTTTCTTTGACAGCACCTTCCATATCCATGATTTCTATCATCTGGAAGATCAGAGAGTATAGACATGGGAATGTCGCAACTTGCAATTTCCCCCCAAGTCATGCACCAGTTTGCCATAAACAGAATGTGTGTGTTCTTTCTTAATGCCATGATCAATATGTTTGTGTGTGATGTGTGCTTTCCTACAGTCTGAGCCTTTGTCTCAATTGAGTAACTCCAGAAGTGGGCATTTTGTGAATTTTAAAATTCAAGATTATTTATCTCAAATTTACCCCAGATGTTTAAAATGCAACATCTCTCTCACTGCACTCACAAACACAAAGACTAGATACAGATGGACATGATACAAAACATTACAAGTTATTATTATCTGTCTCTTTTGAGGCAGACTTGTAGTTTCTTGGATGAGTTGATGTTTTAATTGAAGTGATGGTCATATAAAACAGGATTCTCAGTAAACTGTGAGACTTCTTGAAATCGAATTTCCAAGCGTCAAGTTCTCAGGTGAACTCAAAGTTGAAACCGGTTTAGAAACGTCGTTCTTTCACTTTCGAGGTATTGCTGTTTATTATTTTTACTGGTTGGGATGATGCAAAGCAGTTTGGTGGCTTTCAGTGAAACTGTTGGCAGGTCAGCTTCTTACGGTTTTAAAAGCAGGTGACAAATGTTTGTTTATTTAATGTGACCTGTTAAAAGTTTAAAGTCATTTTCCAAATGAGGTGGGTAGTTAGGTCAGTAATACATCCCGTATTCAGGATTTCACAACTTGAATCCTGGAACTTCCTTTCTAACAGCCCAGTGTATGGACTGGAACAGGTCAAACAGGTGGTTCACTATTACCTTCTGCAGGGCTCTTAGGAATAGGTAATAAATGCTGGCTTTGTCAGTGATGTTGGTATAAGTGAATTCTAAAATGTTGACCAGAACAGGGAGATCTCTTGACTAAGTGCAAACAAGTTTGATAATGAGCAATTTTTGGAATACTATCTCTGGACAACCAAACTAAACTATGTTGATTAAACTTTTTTTTTGGAGTGTTTCCTGGGGAAAGGTTAGAGCATACTCATTACCAGAGAAATTAACAACTACTTGCGTAATTCTTTTCCCCCCTTTACAACACAAAGTGACCTCTGACGCAGTTTGGATTTACTAATCTGTTTTATCAAATCCTGTCTATAAGTAATTTATTCAAACATGGTGCTAATTTATGAAATAAATGGACAGACTTCTTGCGAAGTGGGAATATTATGTTAGACCAAATACTAAGTGTGCAAATGAACTTTTCTGTGCACTCTGCCTCTAAAACATCACTGCAGGCTTCAAGAACTCAGCCCATACTGTGTGTGGCCGGGGGGAAGGAAGGGGCATTTTATTCCACTAGTAACCCTTAAATTTCACTCCCTTTTGGCTGTAGAATCTAAAGGGCTTCTTCTCTGATTCAACATCATTCAACATTGTGATGGATATGCTGTTTATGAAGGAAAGATATGAACGTAAGTGAACATTGACAAACCAATATGTTTTACAGTGTATACTGGTGAAAGACTCTGTAATCAAACTTTGATGTTTATTTCTTCATGGCGTCATTCCATGATGGTATGCTTGAATGATGAACCAAGAAATCGCAGGCCTATACCCAAATAAATGGGTAAAACATTGGGCACTCTGTGCCCACAACTTTGTTATCGATACCAGATCTTGGAAACATCCTTGCATATCTGTAGTCATAATGGTACAGCCATAATTCAGATGCATTGCTTCACTGTATAGACCACGAAAAAAATCACTCAAAATCTCTCAAAAATCAATCAAAAGCCTCACACAAAGGATAGCACAGTTTGGATAAATGTTTAATTCCTATCTAATAATGAAATAAAAGTAAATTTAACACTTTACCTTGAAAAAACGTCAAGATGACTTGAGGGGGGAGAAGGTTTTGAGGTTGCTCTGTTCTTAATGCAGTGGCTGAGGGTTGTCGTCGTCGTCATCGTCATCATCATCACAACTTTCAGGTGCAGGTGCAGTTGCAGTTGCAGGGTTAGGGTGAAAAATAGTTAATCCAGAAGTAGGTGGCTGTAGTTCATTGTCTACTGACTGTGTTTCTTGGGGGTTGGCTTAAAAAAGACATCCAGTTTTTGCTGCTTTGCCCTTTTTCTTGTTTCCTAAAGAAACTGTTCATAGGGTGCCAAATAAGATCTTATTCCACAAACTGCTACCCTGCTGTGTTCTGCATTGTAATTGTTGTCCTCCTAAGAGTTGCAACTGCTTCTCAATTTCCCTCAGGATAGAAGACAAAAAGAAGTGTAAAGCTCTCATGGTGCTGCATCCTGGACTTAATCTTTTTCGTCTCTAGCTTCCACTTCCCCTTCAGCGAGAAGTTGTTGTAGATCAGCTGTAGAGAGGTCTTCAAGTGGGACTCGAGCAGCTCCTCAACATCCTCACTCTTCACTTCTTCAAATCCAACTTGTTTTGCAAGATCAACACAATGTTTTTTTGATTCTTGGGAGCTCCTTTGACAGATCAAAACCTGTAAAATCTTGAAAAAAGTCTGGGAAAAGCTTCTGCCAAACTTTATGCAAGCAGTCATTACTGACATCACCCCAGGCCTCCACGATAATGTCAATTGCATTCTTGATGTTAAAGCTCTTCCAAAATTGAAGAACACTGTCCTTATCCCCCTCAGTGGCTCCAATCAGCCTCTTCAATGTGCGCTTTAAATAATCAGCTTTAAAAGCTGCTATTGCACCTTAGTCTGTGTATTGAAGGGGAGTGGATGTGTTTGGGAGTAGAATTAGCACTTTGATGTTTTCAGAAAGCTCACCAATGGCGGCAGGATGGCTTGGCGCATTATCCAGGATGAGGAGAATCTTGAAATCCAAATTTTTTTCCTGCAATACCTTCTGAAAACATCTTCCAAAACATCAACAATAAGGTCAGAAAAATTTGCCCTGTCATCCAACCTCTTTTGCTTGACATAAAGCAGACGCCCAGACTAGACTTAAGGTAACCTTTCAAGGCTCATGGGTTGGCAGAGTGGTACACCACTACAGGCTTAAGCTTTAAGTCTCCACTGGCATTGGTGCCCAGCAGCATAGTCATACGATCCTTTGCCACCTTAAAGCCTGGAGCATGTGCTTCATTCATAGACATGTAGGTTTTTGATGGCATTTGCTTCCAGTAAAAACCTGTCTGATCCAAATTGAAAATTTGATCTAAGTTGTAGCCTTCTTTGTCCATTAATTTTTTTTACTATGGAAGGAAATGCCATCGCATGCTCCTTGTCTGCAGTGGCAGCTTCGCCACATAACTTTACGTTCTGAAACGCATAGTGGTTCTTAAAACCAGCAAACCAGCCACTGCTAGCACCAAAGGCAGGCATATCGGCAGGATTTTCAGCTTTGTTTGTTAGATCTTCATAAATTGATAAGGCTTTCCCTTTTATGGTGAGAAAGGAGGTCCCACATTGCTTTTTTGTATCTTCTATCCACACAATTAGAAGCCGCTCCATCTCCTCAAGTTCCTTTGTCCATGACCTCTCAGATTTGCTAGCAATCAGACTTGTTCCTGCAATACAGCTTGCTTTAAATCTTTTCTGCATTGTCTCTAATGGTGTGTAAGGAAGACTCCTTTATTCCTGTTTCGCAAACTATATCACATTCTCTCATTACGCTCAAAGCACACTTTCTAACATCTAGCTTCTCTTCCAGTGTTACGGCCTTTCTTCTAAGTCCACCACCTGCAATTTTATCACCAGGACGCTTATTGCTGACATTCTTTTCATGTTGTCCTTGCATTTTTTTGGGTAACACGGCAGAATTTGCAAAAAAAAATCACGGAGTACCGTACCTCTCACAGAAAGTGCTTCATAACGAAGTCTGTGAAACAATCATGTGATGTTGATACGTATACCTCCACACACCAATGGAATCGCGTTATAGCCAACACAAGTTTGAATTTTAGAAATAGCGTTCCCCTATTTGTCAGTCACGTTATAGCCAATTCGCATTGCCAGAACACACGTTATAGCAGAACTGACTGTACCTTTTGATAGAGTTACGCAGCACGGAAGAGGCCCTTTGGCTTATTGAGAATGCACGAACATATCTCCACAAATTCCACTTTCCAGCATATGGCCCACAACCTTGGATGTTATGTCATTTCAAGTGCTCATCCATGTATGTTTTAAAGTCGTGAGATTTCCAATTTGTACTACCCTCTCATGCAGTGCATTTCAGATTCCCACCACCCTATGGATGAAAAAATGTTTCCTCAAATGCTTTATAAACTTCCTGCTCTACCTCTTAAAATTCTGCCCCCTGTTATTGACCCTTCAATTGAGGGGAACAGCTGCTTCCTATCCACCCTGTCCACTCTCCTTATAATCGTATACACCTCAATGACTTCATCTCATAAAGCATCCAAATGATGAATCTCATATTACAACACTTCTCTGGGGTCGATAAAACTTATACCTGGACCTTGTGACACTATCACTAGACTCTCTGTGAATCAATTACTAGATGTAAGGTAGTTCAATTTTTTAGCTGACTGTAAAAACAGGAGGTTATTTGAATGAATGAATGATTGATTAATGGAACCTGAATTGTGAGACCTACACCATTATGCTTTCCCAAAACTTTCTGTGGTCCAAGAAACTTCGAAAGTAAATCTATACTGGTTTCTGTCTGTCAGGTGAGATCTTGTCCCACTGTCTGAAGAAAAATCTCCTAAATTTTTCAGGAGTACAAACATTCTGTACAATTTATTTGTTTTTGGAAAAAATGAATAAATCCAAAAATTATTGCAAGTATAAAGTAAGAAAAATGTTGCATTTATGAGATGCCTTATGTTTTTGGGAGATGTTGTACGACCCATGTTTTTTATGTGTAGTTGCTGCTTTGTCTACAAAGCAAAGAGCCACATTGTTCCCACGAATAGTAAGTCAATTGAATATCCAATTAACCTAATTGGTAGCATTTATCGAGGGTGGAATATTTGGTCACTAATCTCTGGGCACCCTTTGGGCCAAGCAGCGGGCCTGCTTCCAGGCCTGGCCAAAGAGGTCACCTATAGATGTCCACCAGCCGACTGTGAAGCGCGACATAGTGTCTGATTGTCTCCCCTTCTTCCATGGTTGCATCCATCCTGTGGTATTCCCTGAGAGAGAGAGCCTACATTGTCCATTGGAACAGTAGTCCAGTGGGCACTGCAGGGACTGGGTGTGTCATCACCCCTGATAAGTGTTTTGGTTTAATTTTGATAAGTTTCTGTTTACCGTTTCGTTTTGTTTTTGTTCTCCACTTGGAGCTGTCCAACTTGTTGAAGTTTTATTTTAAAATAGAGGAATGTTTGGCTAAAGCACTGGGAGAACTCAGTCTGCACTTGTTCAAAGTGTTGAGCATATTTAGCAACTAAATGAACCAGTGCAAGATAAGTGGTACCAAGTTTCATGCTTTACCTGAAAGAGACATTTAATAAAACACTCCAGCACTTGGTCAATATTATTACTGAACTGCCTAACTAGATTAAACCTGGAAAAACATCATTTGCATGCATAACCAGATACAGAGAGAGAGCAGAATGCTGTAACAACGTAGGTCATTTCAGAGGTTGAGGGTTGTTGAATGCTATGGGGTAATATATGGTATAATCTATAATGCCAATGAGACAAGTTTAAAATGAAGTGCTAGTTAATTTTTATATCATGCCTATGTTAATTCAGTAATTTCTGTCATTGCATTTCTATCTAAAGTTACAATTATTCAGTATTGAAGTAATATTTATTTGGTTAGGTGCTTTGGGAGTTCTTCTGGAAATGAAAAGTCAAGACATAAAATTTAGTAAGGACACTTACACATTGGCATCTGCAGTCTGCTACAAAATGGTAAGTAATTCTTAAACATGTCAATCTCTTCTTGCTTTAAATCTGTTTCAAGAGTTCTCTACTTATGTGAAATAACTGATTTATCCTCTGGCCCATGCCAACTGGGGCTACAGATGTAAGGAAAACAGTCCTCTGAAAGCATCTGAATACAGAGAGCTTAGTTAATAAGCAAACGACTTGTCCCATGCAGAACTTATATAAAATCAAATCAATACAAAAGGAAATGAAGAAACAACTAAAGCATGTAGATGCCCTGCATGTATCGGAAAGTTACCATTGATCAATGCCCCCTCAGTTATTAATTGTACCTTTTTCTAAGCAGCCCATAAATAGAGGAGGGTCATGCTGCAATTATGGACTTGTTTCCTACTAATAGCCACTTTCTTGCAAAGGAAATGAATCTACCTGAAAAAATACAAGTTTTAAAATAACATTTCAGTTGAGTAAAGATGTGAAGACCAATGGCATGTGTTTTGATATACTGCACATGTGTTGACCAAAGTTGTGGTAGGGCAGACAACAGTGTTGGTTAAGGTGTGTTCCACTGCTTGAGCTGGTCTGGTTTGGAAGTGTAGTCTGGACTGAGTGTGCTGTATTATCCTGGTGTGTTGTGCTGTATACAACTGGAGCAGGCAGGCAATGAGATGATGTGCAAGATACTGAGTTACTGGAGGAACTGGAGCAGTTTTCCAAGGAGGACACGACACTGTGGAAGAGGGTTCACTCCTTGTCCATGTCAAAACTCCATTGCATTGGGCACTAAGAGCCAGAGAAGACCTGAATGGCACCTAATCCCTATAGACAAGAGCTGGGTACAGAAGGACCACCATGAAATGTTACATGGTCCTGAATCATGGTGGAAGCTTTTGGTTTACATTGTGAGGATAGGTCATAAGATGTAGGAGCAGAAGTAGGCTGTTTAGCCCATCGAGCTTTTTCTGGCTTTCAGTGAGATTGTGGCTGATCTGATAATTTGTGTGCAGCATCAAACTCAGAGATCAGTGATCTTAACAAAAAAAACCTACTGTGTTGGAGACAGGCTTCTCAGAAATTAAAGAACAAAGACATTGCTAATCATACACAAATTTGAGAGAACTACCATTGTTAGAGTTAATTATGCTTATATCCAGAACACAACCAGATTCAATGGTATGTATTTTTCTTCTAATTCACAGAAAGTTACTTGCTACTTTTTGTTGCAGTCCAGTCACATAAATGTTTTCTCTAGTATGCATCATTTTGAATAGAGGGTTAATCTATGGTCTATAACTATGTAATAATCTGCGCTGTTCTAGCTAAAAGAGGATGCCCAGTTGGTTTGCTGCCCCTGGTAGGCCCGTGTTAACTGAACTCCAGGTTTGTGCCTTGCCAAATATCTGAATAATCTTCTCACAGAATACCGATGAGGCATATAAGATCTGCAGCATGCTGTTGGAAGAATCATTGGCAAGAGGAGATTTTGTTCCCCGGCATGCGTTCTGCTTTGCAATAGCACTTGCAATTAAGCAGGTAAGGCTAACGGTGTGCAATATGTACTTTGCTGCTGAGTATAATAGACAGCCTGGAAATTCTTTGTTTTCTGTGGTGCTGTTTTTCACAGTTTTTGTTTTGGAGGATACATGTTTTAAAAAAAAAGCAATTTATTTAGTTCTGTTATTTTCCAGATTAAAAGCTTACCTGCTTTCATTGTGATTTTAGGTAATTTTTGTAACCATTGTAAAGTAGTCCTGCAGTCTTTTCTGGAATTTTATTTGTTTGGTATTTGCTAAGTAAACCATGGCCCCGTACATGGTAGAATCTGAAAGGCTTGTAGCAATGCAGCAGACCTCAGCAAGAAAAAGATGTTCCTGACATTTAACAGACAACATTACCATCACCAAACTTCCCACCACCTACAGACTGGGGGCTACTTTTGATCAGAAACTTAATTGGAGCAGCCAGAGAAGAGATGGTGATAAATAATGTCAATATCACTGAACGAGTAATCCAAATGCTAATCCTGTGGAATTGGCAGAATTTAGCAGATGAAAAATATGAAGCTGGTCTCTATTAATCAAAAACTTACCTGATCCAATAATGTCCTATAGGGAACAAAATCTGCTATTCTTTCTTGGTCTTGTCTACTTTTGACTCCAGACCATTGCAATGTGTTGATTCCTAACTCTGAAGTGGTCTAGCAAGCTACTCAGTTTGAAGGTAATCAGACATAGGCATACAATCCTTGTCTTACCATCATCAGCTTCCTGTGAAAGAATGTAGAAAGAAATACAGAAATACTGTAGCGAAAAGAGCAGATTGGATGCTGGGAATTTTATGGTGCATGATTCATCTCCTGACCTCTCACTATTTGATCCCCGTCTATAAGCAGAAGTGTGATGGAATCGTCTCCACAGCTCCGGGCAGCCTGCTTGATTGGCATCTAATTTATATCCTTCCTCCAGCACTGGCACAGTGCATCGAAAAGATGCACAGCAGGTACCATTCCAAGGTTCCTTTCATAGTACTAGCCAAATCTGTGACCACCTCCAAGTCTCGCACTGTGGAATTTCATCACCATTACTGTGTTGAAGCTGAGTGAAAACCCTGGAGCACTTACCCAACGGCACTGTGGAGCACTTTCACCACCACATCGACTGCAATGGTTTAAAAAGGTGGCTCCCCATCACCACCTCAGAGACAGTGAGGGATGGTGCTAAATGCTGTCCTTAGCAGCAGCAACTATATCCACAGGATAAGTAAGAAAACACATTAAGAACATTTGAACTGTGTTTTATCTCTTCGTTTTCCTTCACACCCCATCCACATTGTGCCCACATAGTATTTTAGAGATGACTTTGCAAAGGGATTCTGAAAGCGATGAAGAAAATCTTTTTTAGTCCAGCATGTCTGTTACTGTGACTTGCAGAGACTGAAAGGAATTTTCTGGCGGCACAAATTCTTAAGTCCTGTAATTATGTCAAGGCTGCTTACAATCTTGGAAATAGTCCAAGGTGTATAATAACTTTAAAGCAAATCATCAAATGTATTCTGTTTTGCAGTGTTCATTATTTAACATCCCAGTATTTCAATGGAAAGTAATCTCTTTTTCTTCAACAGTATCAAGTAGTGCAAGACTGTGCTAGAGGTTTATTTAAAATATAAATTTAAATACTTATCTATTCGTACTGTGATTTGCTGTAATTTGAGATTTTTCCCTTTTTATGGTTTTTAATTTTAAATATTTGTTCAATACAGATCTTTCTTTTGTCAAAATAAATATGACTTCTCATAAAACAAAACACAAAGAACTACAGATGCTGGAAATCTGAAATGAAAACAGAAATAGCTGGAGAAAGTCTGCAGGTCTGGAAGCATCTGTGAAGAGAAAGCAAAGTCAACATTTCGGGTTCAGTGACCCTTCTTCTGAAATGTCGACTCTGCTTTCTCTCCACAGATGCTACTAGACCAACTGAGTTTCTTCAGCTATTTCTGTTTTTGTTACAGCATCTTTCAGGTTCTATCATGACTGAATTTGAGCGTCCTAGTATTTATTATTCCATCAGTGTAAATTTCTCACAAAACCACTTTTTACTTCTGTATTACAGAAAATCTAATATCTTTTTTTTTAAATTCTCTTATTTCAGAATGATATTGTTAAAGCTCGGTCAATTTACTCTCACATTTTGCACACAGACAGCAAAATCTGTCTTAATCTTCATGTAAGTATCTCCATCACGATGAATGAAAAATTTGGTTTCATTTAGCACTTTTCACAATCCTAGAAATTCTATAAGATCATGCTGGGGGAGAAAAATGAAGTAAGGGGCAAGTAATTTGTAGAACTAACCAGAAAAGTAGACTTATGTCATGCTCCTGATAACTTTAGCTGTGTTTCATTTTCTGTCTTTTCAGCAGCTATATATATGCAAATCACCTAACCATGGGAATATTTCAACAGGATATTTTGATATGAATAACAAGAAAAATTCAGACAAAGGAAAAGAAAAACCTGTCCAACTCTAATTAATTTAAAAAAAAACTGAAAGAACTGTGGATGCTGTAAATCACGAACAAAAACAGAAATTACTGGAAAAGCTCAAATGGTCTGGCAGCATCCGAGGAGAGAAATCAGAGTTAACGTTTTGGGTCAGGTTCTGAGGAAAGGGCACTCGACCAGAAACATTAATTCTGATTTCTCTCCACAGATGCTGACAGACTTGCTGAGCTTTTCCAGCAATTCCAATTAATTTTATTTCCAATTCATCATGCCATCAAACAGCAGATGTTCCATTGCTGTAAAGTAAATAGGAGGTGAGAGGACAGGGCACTCATTCCCTCACTGTGCCATCTGAAACATGGATTGTGTGACTTTGGCACTGGTATGCTCAATGCACGTTACATAAAGTAAAAGCTGTGAATTATGAAGGCCAGCAGAACGTATGGGAATACCGAAACAAAAACAGAAGTTGCTGTGAAAGCTCAGCAGGTCTGGCAGCATCTGTGAAGAGAAATCAGAGTTAACGTTTCAGAACTAGGGAAGGGTTACCGGACTGGAAACACTAACTCTGACTTCTCTTCACAAATACTGCCAAACCTGCTGAGCCTTTCCAGCAACTTCTGTTTTTTGTTTCTGATTTACAGCATCCACAGTTTTTTTTTGTTTATATGAGAACGCAGACTTGGTTATCCAAATAAAAACTCTGTACACAAATCTACTAAAGCATTGGAAATGAAACAAGTGAGTTTAGAAGGACAAAATGCAACATAACGGGCATATGAATTAGGGCCATTACAGAAACCTGGCTGCAGGCTGATTATTGCACAGACTAAGGACTAAGGGAGTTAGAGTTGGTTAATAGACAGAAAGTGTTGAGTAGGATAAACCGATCACTGGAGTGCTGCAAGGATGAATGCTGTGGCCTCACTATTGCCAACTTCTGTCAGGGACTAAGTTGAAGGTAAAGAGAATGATCTGTGCAAGTCTGCTGGTGATAACGAATCTAAACTGGGAGGACTATACAGTTATCAAGTTAAGTGACGAGACAAGGGCAGAAGCAAAAGTGAGAATGTTTTGTAAATGGTGAGAAACGTTTAAATGCTCATGTTCAGACGGCTTTGAGTGTCCTCGTGCAAGGAGCACAGAAGGTTAGTATTTGGGCACAGCAAGTAATGAGGAAGGCAAATGGTGTGTTAGCTTTTATTGGAGTAGTTTGGAATAAGTGAAGGAGTATCGTACAGAACTTTAGCAGATGGCACCTGAGATAATGTGCATATTTTTGTTCTCCATATTTAACAAATTATACACTGTGACGCTGCAGCATAGGTTCACAACATTGACTCCTGGGGTGAGAGGGTTGGTTTGTAATGAAAGGTTGGGAAGATTTGACCTATATTCTTTTGGAGGTTAGAAGAATGAGAGGTGTTCTTGTTTAAACATGTCAAATTATGAATGGCCATGGCAGGCTAGATGCTGAGAGGTTGTTTTCCCTGGCTGAGAAGTCTGTAATATGGGGGCACTGTCTCAAAATAAGAGGTCAGTTATTTAAGACTGACTTGCAGAGGAATTTCTTCATTCAGATGGTCCTAAACGTTGGAATTCTTTATACTTGAAAACTGTGGCTGCTCAGTCATTAGGTATATTCAAGGCTGAGATAAATTTTTGGACATGTAAGGGAATTGGGGGTGATGGAGGTTGGACAGAAAATTAGAGATGAATCAAAAAGCAGCTATAATCTTGCTGAATGGCATTATGTATGGCATACTCCTGCTGCTATTTCTTATGTCCTTATGATTTGGATCTAAAGGTTTCAGGCTACAGAACCTTTAGAAAGAACAGCAAAATTGGAAAGAGGAAGAAATTGAAATATTTATAAAAGACGCAATTGCAACAGTAGAAAGAGGGCATTTCACCTTGTGTGTTTCCACTGTCCTGTGTTCAGAAATAAGAAACAGGAATGGATGCAAGACTCTTACAAGTCCATGGGTCTGGAATTTTTAAAGAAATTATTATAATAGGTCATTTTAGTTTTCATGCAGACAGGAAGAAACATAACAGCATGATAATAAAGGAAATTCATTTCTATAATGTACTTACAACAGTTTTCAAGAACAGAAACAACAAATGAACACGTTGTCCATAATAGATTTAAGGCCAATAAGATTATAAGGTGTAGAAGCAGAAGAAAGTCATTTAGCCCATCCAAACTGCATTGCCATTCAATGAAATGATGGTGAATCTGTTTGTTTAGTGATGAGAAACAAGCCCAAATTAGTTCCCAACCCAGGAGTAAGGAAACATTTGAGAACATTAAGAGTAGAGGGAGAGGGTGAGTCTCAAACTAAGGGTATTACATTTTTGCACGACACTTCAAAGTCACTATCATAAACTTAATTACCCAAATTACTGGTACATATCTCAAAAAGACAAAAGATCCACTTGTATAATTAAGCAATCATGGACATCAGTAAACTAAAAGATAATATTAAAAAGAAAAAGTTCACACCAAGGGAAAAATGTGTATTCCAACAGATTAGGGAAACATTAACAAGTAGCAGTGAGCTTCAAAAGAAGTCATGAAATATGCAAAACCCATGCACAGAAATTACTAAAATTTTCTGAACATTTATAAAAATATCAAAAAACATAAAACAGAATGTTGAAGTTTACCTGGAGTTTGGGAGACAACTGTGAGGATGTGATATTTCAGTTTGAATGGGGCAAGAATGCTTTATCCCTGAGAACTATGGCTGCTGAACCCTTAAGTATATTCAAGATGAAAGGTCACTGGACTCAAAACATTAACTCTGATTTTTCTGTCTCCAGATGCTGAGTTTCTCCAGTACTTTTCTGTTTTTGTCTCATATTTCCAGCATCCTCCATTCTTTGTTTTTATTATGTGTAAGTCATTAAGAGTTTTGTGTATTGAGGAATAGTGCTGGAAGGTACTGTTAAGGTAGATTAGCCATTATCTTTTGAATAGTGGAGGATGCTTGAACGATCAATGGCCTACTCTATTCAGCTCCTGTTTCTTATGTTATCTAGAAGCACAGAAACATGGTTAAACCATGGTTAAAGTAGTCAATTCAGTTTTGCACATTACAGATTATATTGGCTTTGGAGAGAGGGGGCTGACGAGGTTAAATTAAGTCAACTGGTTGCGTAAAGCTGTTTCTATTCCTCCGAACGCTCAAATTTTGATATGCGACAACCATGGTTTTTAAAGTGGCAGATATTTAATCATGTCTTCACCAGCAACTGAGAACATATTTTCTATTTAAGGGCTATAACAAATAAATATAACTAACTGCAATTTTGGTTCAGGTCCTTTTACTGGCTCTGTCAGGGGCACAACAAAATCTGCTTTCCGTTTTGGAAAAAACAGTTGCAAACAATGTTCCGACGTTTGTGAAGAAGCTGGATTTTTCCCAAGAAGTGGTAAGTATGTAAATACATTAACTTAACATCTTTACTGATTGAGAAGTTTGCTTGTATCTTTGCTGAGACAGTATCCTGGCGGCCCCTTACCCAAAAGGACTGAAGGAATCTCCTCACCAGGACTGTAGTGGTTTAAAAAAAATCCACCTACCAGCACCTCCATGACAGCTAGCGATGAGTAATAAGTGCTGGCAGCATGGTGGCTCAGTGGTTAGCACAGCTGCCTCACAGCACCAGGGATCCGGTTCAACTCCAGCCTCAGGTGACTGTCTGTGTGGAGTTTGCACATTCTTCCTCTGTCTGCCTGGGTTTCCTTCGGGTGCTCCAGATTCCTCCCACTGTCCACAGATGTGCAGGTTAGGTGGATTGACCATGCTAAAATAGTATCTCGGGGATGTGCAAGCTAGGTAGGTTAGCCATGGGAAATGCATGGTTCCAGGGATGGGTTGGGTTTGGGAGGGATGCTGTTCGGAGGGTCAGTGTGGACCCAATGGGCCAAATGGCCTGCTTCCACACTAGGAATTCTATGATGATCAACAATGACCTAAAGAATGTTCTTCTTAAGATGCCAGCGCCTTGTTTGTGCCTCAGTGGTGACTGTCAGTGAGAAACTCTGCTGGGGAGGACTTCATTAATACAAAATTTGACTGGAGTCCTGAAAATAGCAGTCAGAAATGGGAACCTTGGTTCCTTTCAATTTTCTCAAACCTTGCCTTGAAGCACAGAAGTCAGCAGTAGTACTGTACGTCTACCTGGGCTATGACCATGTAATGCCATGCAGAGCCAGGATGAAATCTGGCATCTTTTTGGACTGTCTGGTCCACTACAGCACTTGACAGTTATGTTTCATTTTATTTGTTCATGAGTAGTGGGCAGCGTTGGCTAGGACAGCATTTATTGCCCAGTTTCCCAGAGGATAGTTGCTGTGGGTCTGGGGTTACACAAATAGTGTAACATAGTTCCTTCCCTAAAGGACGCCAGGTGGGTTGTATGGCATTTGACCATACTTACTACATTTATTTCCAAATTTCTTATTGAATTCAAATTTCACCATGTGGCATGGCAGAATTTGAATCGGTGTCGTTTGAGCATTGGTCTGAGTTTCTGGATTACTGGTCCAGTGCCATTACCACTATACCACCATCTCCCCTTAACTAAGTTTGAATTGTTCCTTGTGTCTGTATGTGTGGGTGAGTGTACACTACTTGTTCCAACTGATAGCATATTTTTGCGACATTAATTCTGCACCTATGAATTATGTGCATAAAGTCACCACCTGGTGCACAACCTGGGAGATTGTGCAGTACTCAACACAGTGAATTGCACACTCTGCCAGGACTTTATTCTAAGGTTTTTGTCCCCTTTTGTGCCTTTGAGGTAAAAGCATTGGGACAGGCATTGTTTAGTCCTCTGGGTTATATTAAGTATCTCACCATTGATTATCTGTCTCTCTATCTGTCTAGAGTCACCGTACAATTTGTGCTTATATGAATAAATTAAGAATATATTTAGTTTAATAGACATTTATCACAAGCCTGTGCTAACTTTGGTCTATTTATCATCAAAGCTGACTGCAGTCCGCAAAACCTTGGAGAATAATCTGGAACTTCAAAGACGTTTTGAAGATGTATGTGACACACTGCAAAGGTCTGGCCAAATCACAGCACTGAGTCTCGACGACATGCTTTGTCAAACGCCAAATGGAAAGAAGCCTATTAACCCTTTGCTATTTACAAGGAAAGTTAGTCGACGGACCTTCAAACCGTTACAGTCAGCATTACTTTCAGAATAATTCTACTGGACTGTGCATTATTTGATAGTGTTGAACAGCTGTATCTGGACATCTTTCCCAGCTATTGGTGTTGGCTAAAAGAACAGATTCTTTTCAACATCTGGTTTTGCTGTTTCTAGCAAACTTGAAGATAGTGAGTTGCAAAGCACTTCTCAAAGCAAGGAAGGATGATGTGTGTTTTGAAGCTGGTAATTGTTACAGTAACCTTGAAAGGCCCAAGACCAAAGTTATACATTCGGCAAAAATAAGTAAAAAAACTTGCTGTAACTAGCACCCAATGTTGCAGGTCTTTGGAGGATACAGAAAGGTACAGTGCTTCCAATTCATAACCTTTGTGTTGTAAATCCAGAGACCTCCTGGAAATTTTAAATAATTTCATCACGCTTGAACTTAGTTATTTTTTTTTGTTTGCTGTAATTCTCCATGCATTTGTATGCTGGTCCAATATCATGTAGTCCTTTCAGAAGCAGTTTTAGCAAAAATATCATTGATCCTTATCTGAACCAGAAAGACTATTGTAAAGCTGTGAAACATGTTGCATAGTTGTTTTTCCTTTCATGTTATCATAACTGAGCCTGTTATGACTGCAATATGTATTTTCCATAAATTGCCATCTTGTACTAGTGCACCAGACCCACAGTGCTGACGGGAAGGCACTTGCAAGATTTTGACCCAGCAAAGGTACAGGAACCATGATATCGTTCCAAGTCAGGAAGATGGAGGGGAGCTTGCAACTGGTGATGTTTCCATTCTGCTGTCTCCATCCAGCATATCCTTAAGAATGCAGCTATCATCCATCCCGCGCATATGTTTCACCAATTCCGAATTCAGTTTGAATAATTTCCCTGATTTGCTGCAAACTTACGTTACCAGCTGAATGAGATGTACTTTTATCGATTCTGGTGCAAGAGAAATGCAGGCCATGTGCTCAGACCAACATTTTGCTAAGATTAATTGAACAGAAAGATATTCCCTCATTATCTTGAAATAAAGTCATGTTATCTTAGAAGTTGTAATATTTTGGCGAAGTCCACCTTGCCACATTCCATTCTGTCCTTGCCAGCAGTTTTGTTGGCTGCTACAAAGGTCCTGTGGTTGATGTAACAAGTCATAAAATAATCTTTTATTCAGAATTTGTAAATCGTTTGCAATACAATATTAGTATTATCCACGCATAAAGGAATTAGTGTTTGAAACACTTGTTATTGCTAGGCAACTTCACAGTATGAATGATCTTTCTGTAGAATGCACAGTCTACATTCTTAAAGGAATTGAGACTTGAAAATCTGTCATCATACAGTAACTTTAATATTTTAAAAATGAAAATCATTCACTTGTCTTTCATATTTCTTTCAAAGATGCAAACAGTTTACTGAGAAATGCTAAACTATGCATTGGTAAATGTTCTATATTTGAACAATAAGCTGCTCCCTTTACCATCAATATTTTTAAAATGTAGTTCAATAGGCTTAGTAAGGGATTCTGAATCAGACTTCTGAACTAAAGTGTGTTTTCTTGTATGTCCGTTATGACTAACCTCTGGATGTAGTAAATTAAAGATTTAAGGAAAACAACTAAGTGTGTTCCTTTCATTAATCACTAATTTTTCATTCCAAATAACAACCAGTTTTAGAATTCACTGTGCTGCATCTAGCTGGAACACATAAAATACAATGGAGTCCTCTTTTAATTTGTCAAAAATGCCCCTGTTCCAGTCTGCTTTTCTTTGCTGCAAACTCTCACCCAGACAACAACAGGAGCCCATTTATGCAATCTCAGTCTTCATGACAGTCAGCTTCAACTGCTTTGTTTGTCCCTTTCCTGAACCCACCATGCCAAACCTCCTAAAAGAATTCCCCCTGTCCTACCTAAATTCACATCTTCGTCCACTTCTCTCCCATCTCCTGTCATGCCCTCTCAGGCACTTATGACTTAGCTGTTTGTGAGGTTCCTTGTCAAATGCCCTCTACATGTCCAAGTACTGTACATCTGATGGTTCCCCTTTACCCGTTCTGGTGGAGGCTTCCTCAAAAAAATTCTAATACATTAGTCAGACACTATTTCCCTTTCATGAAGCCATGCTGACTCTGCATGATTAAATTATGATTATCTAAATGTTTTGCTATTTCTTCCTTAATAATTGATTCCAATACTATAGATGTTAGGCTGATTAGCCTATAGTTATCCTGATATGAATAAGGGTGTCACATTAGCAGTTTTCAAATCCTCCAGTACTTTTCCAGAGTCCAGAAACAAGTTTTGGAAAATTATAACCAATGCATCCACTATGTCTGTAGCTACCTCTTTAAGGATCCTAGCTTGCAAAACATCAGGGCCAAGGGCCTTATCTACCTTTAGCCTCATGGGTTGCTGAATACTACTACTTCAGTGATGGTGATGATACTTAGTTCCACCTCCATATTCTTTAGTATTAATGGGGTATTTGTTGTATTTTCCACCATAAAGATGCAAACAAAAATGTTTAACTCCTCTGTCATTCCATTGTTCCCTATTCCCTGGATTTATTTTCTAAGGGTATATATTTACTTTGACCTCTGTCTCCCTTTTTATAAATTTAAAGAAGTTCTTACTGTCAGTTTTTATATTCCTCACTCGTTTGCCCTCGTAGTTTATTTTCTCTGTATTTATTATTGTTTTAGTCCTCCTTTCCTCGATTTTGAATTTATCCCAGTCTTCAGGGTTATTGCTGACTTTTCTCTCCCTGTATGCATTTTCTTTTCCAACTTAGTACTCTCCTAAAGCTCATTGAGCCATGGTTGATTTGTCTCTTTCTTAGAATCTTTCCTCATGACTGGGATGTATTTTTGCTGAGAGTCATGAATTACCTCCTTAACTATTCACCACTGCTTGTTTACTATCGTTCCTGCTAATCTATCAGCCCAGTTCACTGTAGCTAACTCTATCCTCACCTCATTGCAATTCCCTTTATTCAAGTTGAACACACTTGTTGCTGACCCAAGTTTCTCACTCTCAAACCGAACATTAAATTCTGCCCTGTTATGATCACTTCTTCCAAGGGGCTCTTTTACTCTAAGGTCATTTATGAAAACTGCCTCATTACCCATTACCAAGTCCAAGATCGCCGACTCCCTGTTGGCTGTGTGCTTTCGGAAACAATCCCTCATACACTCAATGCATTCATTGTCGCAGCTACCCTTTCCAATCTGATTGAAACAATCAACATGAAGATTAAAGTCACCGTAATTGTTGTTCTATTCTTTGTACATGCTTCTAATATTTTTTGGTTTATAGCCTTTCCCACACTTTTTTTTCCCTTGCTGTTTTCTCCCTCTGCCCAATGGACTCTACATCATCTGCACCTGGATTGTGTCTCTCAACTGTCCTCGTTTCATTTCTTATTGACCATGCTACCCCACCACATTTTCCATCCATCCCATCTCTCCGAAAGATCAAATTTCCCTCAATGTTCCCAGTTTTGATGAGATTATATTCATTTACCACAAATTGTGCAGTCAGTTCACCAACCTTATTCCAAGTGTTTCATTTATTAAGATATGAAGCCTTTAAGTTCATTCTATTATCGAATTTTCCTATATTTCTATGGTTCCTTGGTACAACATGTCAGTCACACATTCTGTCCCTTGCTTTTATTTTCTGGTAACTAATCTGCAATCCAAGTTTCTCCTTTTGATTTTATAATTTTCTGTGTAACTGAACCACCCTCCCCCATTTAATTTAAAGCCCTAGATATGTGATTCGCCAGGACTCTGGTCCCAAAATGATTCAGGTGGAGCCTGTCCCATCGGAACGGCTCCCTCCCTCCCTAGTACTGGTGCCAATAGCCCATAAGTTAAATCCATTCCTTCCACACCAATCTTTGAGCAACACATTTACCTTTTTAACCTTGTGCCAATTAGCTCATGGCTCAGGTAGTAATCTGGAAATTATTACCTTTTTGGTTCTGCCTTTAAAATTAGTCCCAAGCTGCTCATATTCCCTCAGCAGAACCTCTTTCTTCCTATATCGTTGGGAGCGTGACAACTGGATCTTTCCCTCCCATGCCAAGTTCCTTTGCAGCCCAGATGAGATATCCTGACCCCGGGCACCAGGCAGGTAATATAGCCTTGGGGATTCTCAATCCTGGCCACGGTGAAAAGTCTATTCCTGTGACTATACTACCCCCAATTACAGATACATTTCTCTTTTCTCCACTGTCTTGAGTGGTTAGAGTACCATGTTGTTATAGTCAGTTTGCTCATCCTCCGCTCAGCACCCACATTCCTCTACAATCTCTATTCCTTGCTATTGAGTCTCAGTCTTCCTGGTCAGATACTGAATCAGACTGTTTGTAAACCTGATGTCATGTCTAACCCTGAAATAATGAATGTCTGAACTCGGTTCAACTGCTGCTGAAATCTTCATTTATACTTATGCTCTCTCTAGGCATGACTATTCCAATTTATTCTTGGCTGACTTCCCACCTTCCATTCTGCATAAAGCTGAGGTTGTGTAAAACTCTGCCAGCAAGTGTCTTAAACAGAGTCCTTTTGACTCCTGATTACACAATGTTTAAACTTCTATATTCATAGAATCCCTACAGTGTGGAAACAGGCCATTTGGCCAAACAAGCTCACGCCACCCCTCCGAAGAGCATCCCACCCAGACCCATTCCCCTACATTTCCCATGTCTAACCCACCTAACCTAAACATCCCTGGGCACTATGGACAATTTACCATGGCCAATCCACCTACCCTGCACATCTTTGGAGTGTGGGAGGAAACCGGAGCACCCGGAGGAAACCCACGCAGACAGGGAGAGAATGTGCAAACTCCACATAGACAGTCACCCAAGGCTGGAATTGAAGTTGGGTCCCTGGCGCTGTGAGGCAACAGTGCTAACCACTGAGCCACCATGCCTCTCAATCTTGTTTTCATGTCTTCTGAAGTCTTGCCACTCCCCATCTCTATAACCTTCAGGTTCATCTCAGATTTCTGTACTCCTCCAATTCTGGCCTTTTGAGTTTTCCTAGTTTTAATTATAGGAATCCATTTTTTTCAGCTGCAAAGTTAACCTAAGCTCTTGTTCCTTCCTTAAACCTCCTCCAAGCCACTCTTGAAAATCCATTTCTTTGATCAAGATGAATAGAGGAAATGTATTGGAGAAACCTCAGCAGGTCTGGCAGTATCTATGGAGAAAGAAACAGAATTTGCATCTTCAAGTCCAATATGATTTCTTCAAAACTGAAGGGGGCTAGTATACAATAGGTTTTATGATGTTGACAAAAGGGGAGGATGAGCAAGTGGAACAGATAGTAAAAGTGTTCAGGGCAGAAGACAAACAGAGTGTTAATTGTTACAGAGGAGTGATATAGATGAAGCATAAGTGTGAACAGTAGGGGTGAAAAGTAGAAAATAGTAAACTTTCATGAGAAAACCCATGCAAACCACATACTGGGTGGGGGGAGGTGGCAAAAGTGGTTTAAAATGGCAGGCAGTGCTCATGCACTGAAATTATTGAACTTCATGTCGAAGCCTTAGGCTGTAAAATACCCAAGCAGAAAATGAGGTGCTGTTCCTCCAGCTTGCATTGGGCTTCACTGAAACAATGTAGTGGGCACAGGATGGAAAGATTAGCATGAGAAAAAGATGACGTATTGAGATGGCAAACGATTAGAAGGTCAGAACAATTTAAATACAGAAATACACCAGGCCAAATGATGTTAGAGTGCTGAGATTAGTTATAAGGAAAGACATAAAGGAGGTTTAAGGAGAGAATTGAGTTGCAAGCATGTCTGTAAATAATGGGAGAAAGAGGTGAAGAGAAAGTTGGAGTTAGAAAACAGGGCAATTTAGAGATTTGTGACATTGGTAATATTTTCTGAGACTTAAGGCAGCTAAGTATCAAGACAATTGAATTGAATGATTGAATTAGCTTTCTTGTCACACATACTCAAATGAGTACAGTCAAAAGTTTATAAGTCACCATGTACAGCATGATGTTAGGTACAAAGGTACCTTGGTACAGCTTCTTCGGTTACAAGATAAGTTACAATTTGCAAAGATAACAA